TTTACTTCTGTTTAAGCTCTTCCAATTTTTATTGTATCTCATGACAATTTCTGCGAAACTGGGAGTGAGACATGAGATAGAGCAAAGCTTACGCTTTGCGAAGAACTTTCATCAATAATCTTTCCAGAAAATTCTTTAGATTTTCGCAAACTATTAGAATCTCTGTGAAAAATAAGATCAAGGTAATTTCAATTAATCAAAGTTAAGCGAAATCATTTTTTATAGACCGTGTATATGGTAATAGAAATATTCGTTCTTTTTGCAGTAAAATTGAAAGTACAAAAAAATATCCGTAAAGCGGTCAACTTCTTTTACTAGCATATCCAAGTGCCAGACTCGTGCCATGGTAGATGAAAGTGAAAGGAAAAACTTCTGGACTGACATAGGAATTCCAAATTTCGTCCATGTTTTTTCCAAATTTTCTGATTATTTAAAGGTGACGTAATAAAGGTAAAATTACAATATTTTCTGTTGACGTAGTTTTATTGAATACTTTATTCTCACAGAAATATGACGTAAAACCCTTGCTCTTTCAGACAGATGATACAAATACTTAAAATGCACTTTCGATCCATTTCTGACGTTCTTCGTCGATGTCTCACTCACCTAATCCAGCTTTCCTTAATAAGATTTGCTTTTTTCATGGTTTGTTGTCGTTCTCAAGTATGCCAGCGCTTTCATCCTCTTAACGTTTTCACAAATGCGTCATGCTCAAACAGAAATGACGTTGAGTACATAACTTTGATGAAGTCATGCAGCGGTCCAGACTCAAAAACCACCTGATGCTCAATTTGTCGAATCTATTTTAGAGCACAGTCGGAATCATATGTAGGTCTTGTCAGGGGGTTCTCAAGCTAGATATAATACGCTTTTGAAGTTTTTTTAAATAATACTTTATGCGCATGATTCATAATCACGTATCTATGACTAAGGTACTTTTCCGTTATCCGGACCCATTTTTTCAAAATGTCCTTATGAAGTACGTGCTTCAGTCTACAAATTTTTCTTCGTTGATCCGTGAGGACTGTCTCTTTGCCACGTATCACATAAAAATCAACACGTTTGGAGCCAGTTAGGCATGTTCTTTCAAAATCATTTTGAGGTACGAGAGCATTTTAAGACTCGAAAGCAGTTCGGGGGTCTTTTATAAAAGCAAAACAGTTTTAAACGTCTGTTAAATCATCTTGGTAGCTTTCAGCAATGATCTGAAGAAATCCCGCTTTTCACAATGTTTCGGCCATGCGAATTTAGCAGGATAGATCATAAAGAAAGCTGATGAATGGCTTGAAGTACCTGGGCTGCCGATTGCTTCGTGGTTCAGATGATAGTACAAAAGCTGTTTTGGGAGAATCTATTGTGCTATTGTGTTTATCAGACACACAATCATAATGTTAGAGCTCAATTTGAAAACGCTGGCTAAAATTGAGATCATTACTGAATAGACAGATGAAGCTTACTTCGATAGGTATGTCTAACAAATCCTTGGCAAAACTTGTTCAACGTGCAGATGAAATATCAAATTTATCTGGCACATGGCAGAAGGTTGACTGTCCATTCTGTGAAGTTTTTTACCAAGCTTGGCACAAGAAAAGAAGCAATATCCATTTCTGAAAAAATGGGTCCGGATGACGGAAAAGCACCTTTAGTAACCCTAAATAAGCGTCAATTTATTGTTCGGTTATTCGTTATGAGCAATGCGCTTTTCCAATTATGGTTCAAGTGGTAACGGTCTTTTCCAAACAATTTACATTGTTTCGAATTCTCCAAGCACATGGTTGTAAGCTCAAAGTTTTGAAACATGTCACTGCAGCTAATAGTGAACATATACATTCAGATAAATATTGATTTATTTGTGCATATGCCGAACGATACTGTAGTGAGCATGAAGCCGAATTTTGTAAGCATCTTCTGGCGAAGATTCTTCATGCCTAAAGTCATCAATTTTTCCCAGAAAAATCTCTTTCGCTTTCTTTTAAAAACAATCATAGAATTTTTTATGAGTGAAATTAAATGACAGACGGATTGACCTTTTTTCAGTATTAGCCAGTAATCAGCCAAATAATCAGCTAACATCACTCGTGCGTGGCGCTCAAAATCAATCCTTTTTTTCTTAAATTATTCAATTTATGTTGTTCTTAGTCAATAGAGCTCATAACGAATGTTCTCATGCTAGACAGAAAGTACAAAATCAGTTGATTCTTAAACCCTTGTATGACTTCAAAGGATGTTCAAGTGGCCCAGCTTTTCCGTTTTTGATTCAAAAATTCAGTTTGCTGCTAGATGAGTCGTCAAAAATCTAGTAAACCGAACAGTTTCGCTAAATAGCTTTGTTTTTTATACGGTTGGTGTGGCAACAGCATGAAGAGTTGATTCAAACCTCGATAAATGTTTTTTAATCTCCTATACTCTCCTTTGTACTCACTCTATTATGTTAGAATAAATTAAGTCAAAGCATCTCTATCCTTCTCCTGCATTTCGCCGACATAATCTGCGACTTCTGGAATTCACTGTTCAAATGGTGCTCCAAACCGAACGAACCATCATAATAACCGAGATTTGACCCTTTCGATATGCTGAAGGTTTCGCCATCATGAGCTATATCCTAAAAATTTTATAAAAAGCCTTTTCTAAAATTATCTTTTGATGATTTGGGAATGAACATGCAATATGATATCATGAGCACATGCTCCCACATCTATGTACTTGTAGTATGTTTACTGCGATGCAAACAATTACTTTTTAGAAGGTGGAAAAGCAAGACCTAGAAAAAAATTTTCATGTTCATGTGATGTTTCTCATTTTACAGCATTGGGTGTGGACTATGAAGGCATTGTGTAATCAGCCCTTCCAGATGACTTTGAAAAAGTGAAAAAATAAGCGCATTTTCTCTTACCTCTAATTCTTCCTTGAAAATTTTTCTTTAGTTTTTTACAACGTTTAAAGCTTTATATACCGCTTCTAGCTTGTGCCGCTTTCATGGTGATTGCGGAACCCATTTTACTTTTTATAATGAAAGCGCATGCGCACTTTCATAACATCTTTAGTGCAAAATCAATGTAATTGTTCCTGCAACGACCCACTGAGAATCAGAACAAAGCCGCATTGCTTTCAATGCACGTTCTTTTATAGTTAGACGAATGAGTTGGAATCGTTCATGCATTAGTCAGGAGGCACTTTACTCGCTTCCGGATGTTCTCCTACCGGATTAGAAGGTGTAGATCAAGCTCATTAGCGTAGATTATGATTATATAATTTCCGAAGGAGAAATATCTTTAGCGCAGCTTTGAATGAGCGGTCTATAGATCAAAATAAAAATGGTTATAATACCGTGATTTTGCGCAATTTTTGGCGAAAAAGATCTCAATATCTGTATAAGATGAACATATTGACATTTTCTGCGTCAGAATGTTTAACTATCTGCATGCTTGAATATTTTGACGTTAGTCACTCTTCGATCCCACCCTAAGCACCCCTACCTTAGCGCATTTCCAAAACCTTATATATCAGGTCGTCCCAAAACTATGCCACTATTTTTTTGATTTTCCTCAAATTTTTATGTTTCTGTTTCAATCATTTTCACCCTCTCAGCTGGTAGTGCAAGCAAAAAGAAAAGATTGAACTTACTTTGATAGAAAGCGTCTATTCTCGTCCTGTGCGAGAAAAAGTAGAAAGAAGTTTTCTTCTTAGATGAACTAGCAGTTTTAATTCTTGAATAATAAGTGGCAATGGTGTTCCTTCCCCTTTCTGCCAAAACTCTAGTGCTTGTGAGCCCAAATAGATTGATATGCAGCTGAAATCATTCCCAAAATAGAAATCCAAGCTCAAAAAGACAGTCTAGCTCAAATAGTATATTTTGGTGAGAACAGTCTTATCGGACTACAGTTCAAAGATATGTAGACATGCTTCAGTGTGCGAAAGAAGTGCAATTTACAGTTTCAAACTTCATTGTTCAATTTTGAAGCTTCTCCTTTGTTTCAAGCGCGAGCTTATATTATTTTCACCAGTTTAAAATCACTTAGAATAAGTGAATTCACTTTGGTGTGGCTTTTACTTCGCCTCACTTGCTAATCAGGCACAAGCTGCTGTTAAACATCTTATCAATAACATCAATTTTATTGTACGACATCATGTTTTTTACTGCTAATTAGTTCTCGTAAGTTTCTTACAGCTTTGGTTTTTTCTTTGCAAGCATCAGCAGATCTATTAACAACCCGCACTAAGCTGATAACTTGAGATGATTTCTGAGAAACAGTATGACATTTTCCTTCAAAAATCTTTGTTCTTTAAGAGCCAAAACTAGGATGCTGGGCATAGGGGCAGCAATAGTGTTCTGCTAATCCAGCACAATCCGAATGCCCAGTGCCCCTAAGAGCAATATTATACTTAATAGTCCCACCCACAATACCTTGTTAGTCGTCCGACCGCGCATGAGTTATTTCCAGCTGACAAATGAGCTGTAAAGAAAGCCTCACGCAAATTTGTTGTGCTATAAATTCAAACCACTCATTTGCGCTCCATCCTTGGAACACACTTGTAAGAGATTGTTGTGGAGGGGAAAAGTGCTAAAGTATTTATTAAGCAGCTTAGAGTGTCGCTTTTGGGAATATTAGCTATTTTTACAGCACTTGCGAAGGATGTCCTCATAAATGATATTTTAATAGAGTGGAAAGATCTGATGGTTGAATAAGAAACTCAGTGTCCCATCCCCACAGGGCTTTATCACATCAAATCAAGCCAAATTTTCGAGAAAAACTTTTCATTGAAGTGTATTCTGCGCTGATTATTCTGATTGAAGATTGTACACTGTTGAGAGTACAGCACTCCTAATATGATTTAATCGTATTTAAACAACTGACTGCACTTCGTTAAGCCAATCGATATGTTAAAAACATTTCATAGTGCCTCCTCGTTCGCTTTCCTCTTCTGAAATTATGTCCTCTAGCTTCGTGTTTTACGTAAATCGTTTGAACTTAGGATTTGGATAATCCGCGTACTACGTTTTCAGGACTAATTTTGCATAGCACAGGAAGATGTCATGTTGGGAGTGCGTCGACCGAGTTTAGTTCGTCAAATGGCGTTCCGACAAGACTCCAAGGATGTGAGTTCCTTTCATTTTTCAGAAATGCTAGACTTTTTCACAACATAGGAGTTTTTTGGTTTCCTTCGAGCTAAAAAGCATTTCCTAAATGTCCTGTGTTTTTTCAATAATGATTGATGTCCATTAGTCATAGCCGGAAAATACTGATGTATTGTTATTTCAGACTGATTTAACAGTACGGCACAGCCATCTCGCACCGCCAACTGTACCTCCGGACAGCCCACGGCCTCAGAAAGATGCTCAAAGTAAGCTGATATCAAGTCTTATACACAATTTCCACTGAGAAGTTGATTTCTATTGGGCGTTGAGGAATTCATATTCGATGTAAGTAGTGTAGTCTTGATAAAGACAAATGAAATCGTTCTTGACTTAATTAGTTTCCCCTTATAAGCAATTTTTTTGTATGAGAATTTATTCTAATATTACTCTGGCTTTCGATTGATTTTCTGCCCAACATCCCTCTTTCCGTCCTGCTTACGTATAAAGTGTGCTACCTGTAAACGTTCCTCTCTCCCGATAAATTTCGTAAAATTATGAAAAGTTTAATGAATCAGCGAGGACCGGGGCTATATGATATGTATCTTATTGCTGGTAGCTGTATGTTAATGCTAATTTCGAATTTTTGCTACTTATCTGCTGTGCTCTTCTCTGAACAAAGTCGTGGACTTATCTTAAAAAAAAGATGGAGAACTATACACATCGAAACCCGTCAGAATCATCGGTATCCCAACTATTTACTTCATTTCTGACGCAGTCTACATAATTGAGTAAATCTCTTTGTATGGCATCGTAATGCGTAAGTTGGCACTATATCAATATGATTCTTATGACTCTAAAGTAGTGCACATTGAAGGCTCGAAACACCTAAATTTCTTTCGGCATATCACAAAAATCTCAAATGGAATCGCTTTCTCTAAATAAAAACACCACCTGAAAATCGGTTTGAATACTTTTGCAAAGCTTCTCAACTTTTTTGCAAGTTAAGAATTCTAGCTGGAGAGCACGCGTTGGCATAATTTTGTGGCTTAGGGGCCCCTTCTGAAAATTTGTCGTGCGAAGAAGAGGGGGAAGGAGAAGAATTTGTTTATTATCACTCATCTAATGTGTTTGTTTATCAGGCACTCTATAGTAGAAATGTTTTAGGCGAGGTAATTGGCTCATCGATGATGGTCACAATGAAAGTGCCTGAGACAAAGAAAGGTAAGAATTTTCTAATTCGATATGCAATGCATGTACAATTCTCTCCTTGCAAACAGAACTAAAGTCATTCCATTGCAAATTAATTTTCTTGTTTCTCAAAACACCTATCTGTGAGTGATCGACAGCCTTAAAAGCTTACTGATTCTAGAAAACAACGTTGTGCGGATGGAATCCATTCAGTTGGAAGAGAAACGGAAATAGAATCAAAACATTGCATATTTATTGTTCATGTTATACATATACGTTTTGTTGTATACGCCTTGGTAATCAGTACATACTTGGAGATGTTGTATAAAGGAATTTTTTAATGCTTTTGACGCACTTCACTTATTTACAGCCTCGCCGACTTTGTAGAGCCGAGTATATCTTTTATTTTTAAGGTGTACTGAGTTGTACTTTGCTTAAGACTAGTGATCACAGTTAAGAGGCTGTGGGAAGTTGTATAGGCAATTCCATTCATTATAATTGGTTCTCACATATCTCATCACACATTTACTAGCGATATTAATCAGACTGCTCTATTCATGGAAACAAGGTACTAAAATGAAAAAGATTCCGGAAGGGATGGGGAGGGGGAGGAGGGGATGAATCAGTTAAAACCAATCGCTGAGGCACATCCCACGTTTATCCTTTTCGTCCACTTTGCCAAATAATAAATCGTTTTGCTTTAACGCCGATGAGGGGGAGAAGCTTTGATTTTCCAAAAATATTATGTGGTAGTCGCCATTAACTGTGTCAATGGTAAGTTATTGTGGTAGAACTGAAAGCACGAAGACGTAGCTGAAGAATGTTCACATATGGAGAACATGTATGTACTCAAAAAACGGAAAATCTTTCTTTCCCAAAAATGTAAGTGTTAGTAGTGAGAAATTCCATGCATATGGAAAACAAACGCGTTATTTTCATGGACATATAGTTAACGCGCTCTTCCAGACACATGACATTTTCGTCTGAATGACTTTTTCCTTACATAAGAGTTTTCGAGTTTTTCTTATTTGTTAGGTTGAAGTGAAGTCCAAGCTGAAAAAAGATTGGACAGCTCACCGAATCTATCAATGTGAAGCGGAATCTGTAACACCAAATTGATCACTTTGAAAAATAATTTACCCTTTGCGATTTTGGTAGGCAAGAGTGTGAATGGAAACATCTTATGAAGGGCATAAAGGATGTTTTCTCTGATCACGAAAACTACACTTGTGCATTTCTTGGTGGAGCATGGTCCGATAGCGCTTTTCATAAAGGTTCTAACTTACAAAAATACACCAGCAAGCACTCCAACAGTTGGGCAAATTTGCGAGCTTGCGTGGTTTGGCTACATCTCCCTTAATATAATTCCACTGTACCTTTAGTGCAAAAAAAACGACATCGGAAGCAGCTGGCAGACACTTCTATGAACGAAGTTTTTGATTAATCTATAATCATCATTCTTGTCGCGGCTCGCGCGATGCAAGCCACTCCTCGATGAAGGTTGACCGGGAGCGCTGTAGGCCGCCGTCACCGGGCGCGCTGCGTTTTCGCGCTCGGACCTCTCCCCGCTGGGCGCGTTGTCAAGTCGAGGGGTATATATAGCCGCGCAAAGAGCGGCGTGCGCCTCTCTTCGATTCGTTTTCTTCTATTGATTGATTTCTCATGTGCTTTGGCAACTCGGTGAGTGAGCTCCCGCGTAAGATCTCTTTGTGTTTGTGGTTGAGCAGCATGGGATTGTTTGGTATACGCGCGATCGCGCTATGGGTTCTTCTTCTGAAATAGTTGGAATTTAACAGCGGGAGTGGAAAGGTAGTACGTTCCGTAAGGTCAACCCTGACGGCGAACCCTGAATTCCTTTCGTGAAGATTAAGCCAAGAAGATCATCGGCGGACCGGGACGAGGCAGGCTTGTCCCGTACATTCTTCTTTTCTTAGTAGTTTAGGGTTTCGTAACTCAGTTTAGTAGGTTAGGCTTCCTTTCTATTAGTGTACTTCATCTATGTGGATAAATTTACTTAATCTAGTCGTGTTTCTGTGATCAGGGGCTTGTGATATTGTGGATAGTTCGCGACACGGTCGCGCAGGTTTGGCCAGCTTGTGTGAGCGTCGTAACATCTACGGCAACTGGGACTGGGTTGCAGGGCATGTCAGTGAGGTGCTGCAAGGTGCTGTCAAAATAACCTGCGAAGGTCACTTTATACAAAAGCGTCCGAATTGGTGGTTGCTCATAGCTAATCAGAAAGAGATCTTAAAGGCAGTGAGTCGGCAGAATGAGACCCTTGGCAAAACAAAGTCGCAGGGTAGGAGCCCCTATAATGGAACCTATGGGCCAAAATTCGATCTTTCTCTGCCACTTCTAACCCCCGAAATTTCAAAGCGAAAGCAGCGCTCATCTCCTCTCCTCTCCGAACCCGCCCACCCCATGGACGAGTGATTTCCACGGTCAGAGAGCCAGCCGCAATGCTATAAGCATGAGGTCCCGCAACGACTCTGCGTCTTTGCCATGAAGGGCTTCGCGTTCAGTCGTCCATGGGGTGGGCGGGTTCGGAGAGGACAGGAGATGAGCGCTGCTTTCGCTTTGAAATTTCGGGAGTTAGAAGTGGCAGAGAAAGAACGAACTTTGGCCCATAGGTTCCATTATGGGGGCTCCTACCCTGTGACCTTGTTTTGCCATGGGTCTGATTCTGCCGACCTACTGCCTTTGAAGAATGTTCAAAAAATCAAGTGCCCCATTACTTTTGGATCACTCTAACAGATTCACATTTTAGGGTTATGATGAGTAGAATTAGGGACGACATAATTTGCTTAGAGTTCACCAGCTCTTCTATCCCTTTGGAAAAAAGTTTCTGGGTGCTTTTTAACGCTCGATAGTCTACGGAAACAGCCTATAGAGTGATGCTTACTGGAAACTTTTATGTGCGTTGTGCGCTGTCTTACATCCTTGCGAAAAGACATCCACACAGATATTTGTAAAAACTGGAAACGGAATATCGAAAGCGTGCTATATATCAAAAAATTGGCTTGATGAGCTGAGTACGATGCTTTTCTCGGATTTAGAATAAATTCGTTCCGGAAGAAGTTATGGCGCTGCGTTTTTCGCGATTCGCGTGATTCCGCGAAATTTCCGGAATGTCCCGCAAGCTTCCGCGCAATTCCCCGAATTCTGCGACATTCACTAAAATCTCGCACGTTCTTTGAGCGATGTTGTAGTTGGCGGATATGTACATACGATTTAGTTCCTGGACCCTCTCGACCCATTTGAAAGTATCCATCGTATGACACCCTTTCCCCACCCCTGCCTCATCTTAATCCCACCCCTCTCCTTCTCCACACTTTTGCGGTAGCCTCCATGAACTAACGTCAAATCACTCCAAAGGATGTCAGTGGAGCTCAAAAATCAAACATCATAGGAAGAATCTATCTTTAGTTTGGGTTATAATGTAAGTAGAACTTAATGCTTAGAAACCTTCGAGATGAAGTTTTCCTAGATCAAGTAAACAGGAAATTTTACAGGATCTGATTGCAGTGTACTGCGGTCACGCAAGGATGGATGGTCTTGTAACGAGGACACGACTTTTAGTATTCCGCCATCTAAATTGCCACCTATCCAAACGCTGAATTAAACAGAAATAAGACGTGATAACAGTTAGGAAAGATTCAAAAATACAGGGTGCAAAAAAATTACTGTCCCTCAAAATAAAGGCAAAAAAATCGGCGTAATTCCCAGTGTTTTCTGGCAAATTTGACATAAATTCTAAGATATGAGTGTATTCTAGCATTTTACAAAAATTGGCTCAAAAATTCTGCAATATCACCCAGCGGCGACTTGGAGGTGGCTTTCGATCAAATTATACGATCGATCAATTAGTTTCAGACGATAACCGAAGAACCAACCGCTGCGTCTGCCTCCAAAACGATGGACTGCTCTAATGCTATGCCATCTGTGCAACATGCAGACTCAGGAACTTCTGCTACGACAAGTACCATACCATCAGTGAAACACGGAGATCCGGATCATTCGGAAAAACGGTCAACATACCATCAAATCACTTTTACATATAAAACTGGATGTGTGTGTGTGTCTGAATGTGGGTGGGAGTGGGGGTAAGAGTGGGTGGGAATGGGTGGGAGTGGGGGTAAGAGTGGTTGGAAGTAGGTGGGAGTGGGGGTAAGAGTGAGAGTGGGGGTGGATGTGGGTAAACTGGCTACAAGGATGCAAGTGAGTAGGCTGATCGCAAAAACAAAGAACAGAGAATTGAGTGCTTCATGTTGTATTTGACAGCTAGCAAGCGGAGTGATACCATCACCCTCCTTTCAAAAGAAAAACTGTCTTTCACCATTTTCGATTCAGAGTGGCTCCTGGTTCTCTCCCGAAAAGCACTCGACATCAGACACCGATGAAGAAACGGTCGTAAAGCCACTAAAAGAGATAGATCCCGCCTTGCTAAATACGTACTTCCCCGTCCAAGGGTAGAAGCTTCTGGATCTATTCTGTCTAATCGTTGCGGATGCGAAGAAAGCACACGAGAAGTGCGTTCGGTCAAATCGGGATCTGCTCCCATCATCATCTATAGCATCAATGGAACGAGGAGACGGTGGGAGGGACAGAAAAACTAAGTGAACCTCCGAATAACGCAGTTTGCCGAAAATGCCTTGGCATGCACTCATGCCGTGACGACGGGAATAAGGATGACTGTGATTTTACATATTCTTCGCTCACATAACATTGATGGGAATTAGATTGAAGAGACTGCGCCACTGGGCCGAAGAGGTGGGAGTCGCACTGCCTTCGCGATCGGTGTTCAACCGGACCGGCTTTTTAAAACAATAAGGCCATGCATCAATGAATTTTACGAAAAACAACAAGCACTATCCAACAGATAAGAAGCGCGTACGAGGTGAAGAAGTAACAAAATGTGGACTGCAGTAATTATTTAAAATATTTTTAGAATGAAGGGCAGCCTACAGGATGGGATATCGCAGTTGACGGCGCTTTAGATTCTAGAGAATTTAGCGCAGAAATGTGCAAGGTGCTGGCTATGGGTTCGAAAATGAAACTCTGTATCCACACGGAAATGGTGCACCGCTCCGACAGGTGAAAGCAGATTTGATAACAGATGAAAGTGACCACTTCATTTAGATGGACTCAGTCGGAAGATGGAAAAAGAAGGTTTTAGAAGGATGTTACGGTGGCTGCGAGCAAAAGAGCCGAATATGGGGAACACGTAGAATGGCACCTAGATATTTGGCATTTCGCAAGATATCTCGACAAAAATCTGCACACGGTAGGATCTTCTAATAGATAATGAGATAATTCGGTTACCTTACGTGGCAAAACGAAAGAACTGTGAGCTGTTGCGAGACTGGATAAACAAAATTATAAATCAATAAATCACCCATATCACGCAGTAAAAGTAGGTGAGACAGCTCACAGAGGGGAGGCGATAAAGCACGTGTTCAACACCTGCCTATATCACGTTTCTGACGTGCACAAACGGAATAAGGTGAACCCCCTTCACCAGGTACATGACCAAAAAATTACTTCCCCCGCTGATGTTAACACTGGGATAGTAACGGAATGTCTACATGACCCCATGCCACCTAATGCCATAAGATGAAAGCCTACTCACTGCAGGCAGCCACGCCCATAACACTGCAGACGACATTCCAAAAGGATCTCACACTCGCCAGTCCCTTCGGAGGGAATAGCGAGAGCGAGAGCAAGAATTCTTTAGATCGCCTTTGCTACCCAAAAGAGTTGTACTTGTGGGTAGCTACGTACAACTAAGACGCAATACATCACACAGCCCATCAGATGGTACAATTTTAGGCCACCCTCTACCTACGCCCTTTATGCAAAGTTGTCGTATTTGCATCGTAACGCACTTCGCAACGCCGAGATCGCTGGGGAAAGAGTGGTGAAGCGGAGCACCATTGTGCATCGTAAATTCAAAGATAGGCCTATTCGAGAAAACACCAGTGGAGCACGTATGGAGGACAGAAATTTACATGGAGTTACGTCAGAAAATACCTCCAAGGGACACAAGACGATACAGGCCAAGAGAAAAAGGAAGATGTAGAAGATATTGAAGACATGGAAATGACCTGAACACCTCAATTCCGGGCGAGGCAATCGCCGCCCTTCCGCCTGTTGCGCATCGAATCGTTATCGCGTTACCACAGTTTCTGGCTATCTTTGGCATTATTCTCCTAATCAAATAAATGTAACAGAAAAATACAATGTAACACAGAAATCCTCTACAATACATTAGGTTTCACGGGAATGGGCACAGATAAGAACGAACAAACACCAAAGCAGCATATACAACATAATATATGTATCAACAATGCATTCCGTAACAATGATCAAATCCTCGTGTAAGCTCGAGCTTCAACACCTTCACAATAATTCCTGTCACGGGAGAAACATCTCTGCTCTTGTATTCCATAATACGTATCAATAGTATGATCTCTATGATTTCTGGATCCCTACAAATAATATTACACTATACAATATGAAAAAAGAAAAGAAAAAGAAGAAAAAAGAAAGCAACCTCAGTAGCTTGCAACAGCAATGTGCGATGATTGCAATTATCAAGTTATTATATATCCTTAACAGAGATCCAAATACATGTAGTACCTATAACTGAACATTTGCCTTTACCAGCTCTGAAAGGAATAATAAGTCTTTGCTCGAGGAATACGAAATCTGCTTATCTGTTGCGATATGCAGGAAACAGCCCAGTAAGACAGTTCATTACCATATATACCCACTCGTTTTCCAAGCAAATCCACCAAAGATCGTTGGAGAAACAATTAATTCATAGGGCAGAATTCCTCCGGAGCACAAAGACAAGTAAATAATCTATGCGCAGTCTTTGCGAGTACTCCATCGAAAATAGAGTCAAGCATGCTATACAACTTTCGAACTAGATGCACTCCAACCTCTGAAACATGTTCATTGAAAACATCCATTTTGGGAAAATGTTAAAGGCAGTGGCTATTTTTATCAGCAAACTAGATAGTGCCTTCATGCTGTCGCTGAGTTGTCATAATGTTGCACTGGAGAATGCTGCCAAATGTTGTTTTCTATTTTTGTTTGCTTCTGCAAGTTCCTACTAGACTGCGCAGCCAAGTACGTAAGTGTCTGTTTGCACCAAAGGCAGTGGCACGGGAAATTTGCGACTGCGGGCTTTTCACGACTACATGGCTTTCTGGGCCAGCTGAGTCCGGTACTGCGCACAAACAAAAGTGCTTCTGTGTCAAAGTGCTTTTTTGGCGTTCCCGGGTCTTGGAAATTGCTGGTGAGGCGGGACGAGGGATTCACCCCAAAATGAGCAACTGGCTGCAGGAGGCTGTAACTCCACCTACTTTGGCGGCAAAATGTACCGCGATGGCTGCCTAGGTTAATCAGCCAATTGCCGCCAAAACAGATGAAGTTACAGACTTCAGCAGCCAGTTGCTCTTCTTGTGGTGAATCCCTCGCCTCGCCCCTCCAGCAATCTTCAAGGCCCGGAAACGCCAAAAAAGCACTTTTTTGACAGTTTAAACGCAGTATAGGACTCAGCTGGCCCAGAAGGCCATGTAGTCGTGAAAAGCCCGCAGTCGCAAATTTCCCGTGCCACTGCCTTTAGTGCAAACAGACACTTACGTACTTGGCTGCGCAGTCTAGTAGGAACTTGCAGAAGCAAACAACAATAGAAAACAACATTTGGCAGCATTTTCCAGTGCAACACTATGACAACTCAGCGACAGCATGAAGGCACTATCTAGTTCTGAAAACAAATATGAGCGGTAACACTGACACTACAAGAGCAAAGAAAGAAGATGAGAAGAAAGCACCTTAGTAAAAGAACAATACCAACAACAAGATTCAAAAGGTGAAGTGAGGAATGATGAAATCGTATGCTCGCCATTTATCCTGCGGCCCTCGGCCCGAAGGCCTTCGTCGCCCGATCACCAGCCGGAGAAAGTGTCTGAGACGGGTATTCCAACGCTGTTCTAGCGCTTTGGCACAAGTTCGTTGGCTTTGATGATGATCCCCGTTGAAAGTCGATTGTAACTGTTAAGTAGCGAGAATAGTTTCAAAGGCCTAACTTTTTGGGAAATTTTATCCGTCGATCGAATAATCGAAACGATTTATTCCGTTAACAAAAACAGTTATACTTGTTGATTACATTTTGTAGATGACAAAAAGCAGTAATTCATTCACATTAATAATAGTAATAGTAGTAGCAGTAATTCGTTCACACAAAATGATACAAGTGACGATAGCTACACATAGAGATCAGCAACATATGCGTAATGATGGCATGTAGGACGTATACCGCGGATGACGTGTGGAGCTAATCGCACCTGTAATTAATCAAAGTTGTTACATGGAGTTCTCTGTAAGTCTGAACAGAAATCGCAAGTTATAAGCTAAACTCACACTTTAACGAGGCAATATAATGGAACAAACGAAGATGGCCATGGATACCTTCTTGTTTTTAGAAGAGATGTGTAAATCGCAAAAGAGCAAATCCATCATTACCTGTAGTATGAAATAAAACCCAGGAGAAACTGGAATGGCATCGAGAGAAGGTAGGCGACTCCATCGGCCACTGAGTACTTTATTCGATTTGTAACAGCCGCTGATAATATAGGTAACTATAAGAAATATTTCCTGATGTAAAATTGTCCGCACAATAGCGACTCAGGATATATCCGAGACGACGAAAAATAGGGCGCATACAGGAAACGCGATCATGGAACTGATTAGCCCAGCTGAAGAAGTACCAGCTAACGATGTACATAATGAGAAATTTTCAAACACTAACTTGTGGTTCTCACGTGCACCAAGCATCGGCTGGTTTTCATCAGATACATTCGTTCATTTTCAATAAGTGAGTATAACTCTAAAACGAAATGTATTGAATAGTCGATGATAGATGATGTGATTAGGACAAGTTAGCAAGATTTAGTAAGAAAAGAATTGCAGAGCGAAAAAGTGAAAAGTGGAGCCAGTAAACGTAAGAAAATATGATTATCCACTTATATAGAAACTCAGCAATAACATTTGATCAAGTGTCTTGTCACATGATATGCAAATAACAACATATGTCAAAACAACATCACAAGGTTTAGCATTTATTCAAGTTTCGAAATGATTCACTTGGGTTTCGCACAGAATATAGACAATTTTGTCGGTTCGCCATTCTCGAGTCAAATCGGCTGTTACAACTTATGGCACACGACCACCATGTCATCTTTGTAAAATGCTTAACTACCGTTAACATATTTTAAAACGCTCTGTGCAAGTAACTACCTAGTAGAACAGTGACAAGTGTAAGTAAGCCAACCGATGATACTGCGTAGCAATCGACACACTACGCTGCTTTAAGCAGCACAAAAGCATAGGGAACCTAAATAAATTGAATCCATGTGCGTTTTTGTAAAAGCAAAAAAAAACATCTAACCCCACAATAGCACGAAGTTCAGTATATAGCATTTTAAGCTCGAGCTCAAGCAATACAATGAATTTCAGGTTTATCTTAAAGTAAAGTAGGTAATAGAATCCATTAAATGCTTGATGCTACAGAAGTGCAAAAAATAACAGCACACAAAGCACAAAGTAAGTAAGAGTACTTATATCAATTCATTCAGCGCAAAATTATCGATGCAATTGCTGGCGTCGTCGCTAAAATAACGACCATTTTGACTTTTGAATTTCGATCGCAAAGAAATTTAACGCGAATCAAACGTGATTTGAATCATCAATGTCTGGTTGTACTATAAGCGACGGCGGTAAGCGACTGCTTCATAAGACCTGCTTCACAATAATGCTGTTGAAAGTGGGAGCCATAAAGTGCATTCATTCAATAACATGGTGTGCATAAAAAGTAGGGTGAACGAACAGAACTGTCAACTGGCTGGATAATGACGAAATGATATAGTGTTCAAAATGCTACTTTATGTGTATAATATATGTCCAAAACAAACTGCTACGAGTAAACATGTTCACATGAGCACTTGGAAACGAAAAATTGTTGAATAATGGAAACAGCAGTATAGCAACATTTTACTAACAAGAATTTGAGGTTTAGGGTTTAGCCAGAGTGCGCCGCGTGCGGGCGTACGTAACGTACGCGGCGTACGCTGCGTACGCCGCGTACGCCGCGAGGTCTGGCTCAACCCTTAGTAACAGCACCAAAATTATTCAGTGCCTGCTAAACGATGAAATGGACAATAAAGTCGAATATGCACAACGAATATGTTCAATTAACAACATGAACGTAATAAGAGAAATCGAGATTGTAAACAGGCAAAAAAAAATGAAATGTTCGTTCCAGTCATAAACGGTTTTACCTTCAGTTCGCACCCTGATGGGATCCTTCATGTTCTGCATGCGCTGTGCCTTCCCTGTTCAATTTTTTCTTTCATCATTGAACATGGCATGTCAGCATTTATTCGGTGGTTTCATCCAGGTTCTTTATTTATACGCTGGGACAGCCAATTCTTGAGTATCCTGGGTTCTGTAGGCTTTTTTTATTTCTTTCCTTTTCTTTTCCCTCACAAATCTACTTTAACACTGATATCAACCAGCTAGGCTCACGTACATATCTTCGTTGTTGAGATGCACACATTTTCTATATGTTATACAATTACTATAATAGTTTTGAGGCCTGTACTAAAGCAGCAGAATTTTGAGACGTACTGGATAATTTCCTGGTGCATACAGTGTTCCTCAAAAACCATCATCCATCGGAATCTGGCACTGACCTTAATTACAATATAGAGCTAAAGCGACTATAAAAGGCAACCCAGCTGCCTCTTACCTTCCCGTTATATATCTTACTTATCGCATCATTAGGTCTTCCTGAATCATGTTGTCTTGTTTGCTCTCTGATCTTGCCATGTAAAATATCTCTTTATCTTGGATACTCTCCCTTAATATACCATAACGTGCAAATGCTAAATAACTAATGTTTCTCTGAGATACAAGGTATGCACTTTTATGAAAATATCCCAAGAACTTTTTGGAATAATAAAAGGGTTTTCCATGGAATTAAAAGAACCATTGCTTTCATTCCTTGCCCAAACTGTCACGTGTACATTGTTTAAGGAGATGAAGTCATCATTAACAATGGCAGTCTTGTTTTGAAATCATTCTTAACAAAAAATTAGATTTCGTTATTGATACTTCTACGTCATCCATCAACATAACCATTATCAGCAAATCCAGGTCCCTATTCACTACTTGAATGCAAATGGCGAAATTATTAGTTCTACGACCCAGAGGACCAACACATCATATTGACTGCAGAACCACTTCATGATTTGATAATTGAGATTAAAAGGTAAGGGGTAGCGGCTTTTCATGGTAGCGTTAGCTATATACTGTAGCTAAGGTTAGCGCCAAGTTCCGACGGATAAGGATTCCTGGTTGGAGCGCATAATTGTGCCGCGAATATTTATGTGTAGTGGGGTCACAGTTCGAGAACGAGTCATATCTTCTAAAAAAGTTGAACACCAATTCTCTATAGACGTATATGAATAAGCTGGTGGCGAAAGAAAATGTTTGTCTCTGTCATTATTGTCATTATTGTCTTTGTCATTTCGTCCCAATACATTTCATTTTTTACATTCGTACATTGTATGAAGCTTCGTAGAAAAATTTTTTATTGCATAGGTTTCACAAATACAAATCAGTGCTGATATGAGTATTATTTGTGCGTGGAGTTACATTTAGCGCGAATGTACTCAAATTAACATGCTTAAAGGTACTTTGACATCGAATAAAAATGATTCTTCTTCTTTCGATAGACGATACGGCCGGTGGTCCCTTTTTTCTTATTCATTTGTCGCAGTAGATGCAACTTGTGAGAGCAAAATTCAGATAAAACAAGTTCTTCTGCCTCAGCACGACAATATTTTTGCTCTTTTTCGTTCTTTGAAGTAGCGCGGATATCCAAAATACTTGCACGACAGCTCACATGAAGCTAAAAATAAAAAATATATGCTAGAATTCGTATTAGCTAACTGTTGCTACTCACGTCTCGTTTTGTTTTCGACCAATCGTGTATTGCAGCTCCATTTGCAGTGGACACGACAGAATATAGAGAATTCTCGAGTGAAAATAGACACTCTATCCAATTGAATTTCAAAAGCTAAATGCCGGTTAAAAGAGGTAAGAGGATGATACTTTTTTATGGTACCAGAGTTTTTGAAAACATTTTTGATACCACAACATTTTGAGTCAAAGTTTGTCAGCATAATTTTGAGAGCACCTCCATCTTCAATGCTCCAGGGCAATCAACTGCTAACTAGCTCTGACCATCCAACAATCAAGGATAGAAGAGATAGTGGCTGCTACACCGGGTAAGCCTTGCATGAAAATCAGAAGAAGATCCAGTAAAGCTGGACCTTCTTCTGATCTTCATGCAAGCTTTTCTGTTTCATCTTTCTCGCGCAAAAAGTCCTATACTTTTTGAATCCAGCTAGGGATGCAGAGTACAGCTCCGAAGAGCGAGCAGCTCTATACAATGGCGTGTAAATGTGAGCGCAGGCCCTAACACACCTCGAGTTAGAAGCCAAATCTAGAAAGTGTTGATTGCTCAAAAATCTAAAAAATTGCTTACCTTTGTTCATAGAAAACTTACCAGTCCACTCGCTCACGTATATGCACTCATACCAAACATTTACATATGCCCTCTATATGAAGAAACGCTGTGCTGTTCCCACATAAGCAAATATTATACAGCTACTTAAAAGCGCTTTTCTTTTTGGCTCTTCGAGAGATATGTAATTTAAGCCTACGATTGTACTTCTAAAGATTCAAAGTGTACCGCTTTATTAAAAACCTGAAAATTTCAGTTCTCTCGGCTTTCGAAACAGAAACAGATACAGGAACGGCAAATACGTGGCTTACTGGTGTTATCGAATGCTAAGTTGAGATGTACTAAGGCTTTTGCGAGTACTTAACTATCATCTTATAGAGCTTGCTTTCGTCTTCGAGCAATATTCTGCACCCCAATTTTGAAAAGTATTTGAATAATTGCGCTAAAAGTCATTTTGAGGAAACAAACTTATGAGACAACCTATATTTCCACTATCACAAATTCCTTACAAGGATCATCGCAGTTTATATATTGTACTGAACCGTCGAAAATGATGAGATAATTTGGTAAATTTGAGACGAACGGTATTTTTTGAATATTTTACATCTTAAAAGTTTTGTTGCAGTGTACTTCAAGCGCGGAACACTGCTAATAAAGACACTGGCCAGTAGCTAACCCCTCTCAGCGCAACTCAGCTGCGGGCGGGCCTACGTTGGACGTAGACCGCCTCAGTCCGGCATCCGGTGAGCCATCGATCCGAACTTGGACCGCTTTCTAGACCTAGATCTTGTACGTTCTCAAAAAATAATCTTCTTAAGTGGTTTGGTCGAACGGCTAAGTGAATGGGTTTCAAAGCGAAAGTTCATGGTTCAAAGCCGGCAAGTGGCAAGTTTTTGCGCCACCGGCAATCTTTGATAGCGGCCGTTATCGAAAAAATCGATGGCGAGCGCTATCAAGGGTATCGCCAAGCAGACAAATGGATAAAAAACTATCATGTGGCGAGGATAACACAAAAAAATGAAAATTTTGGAACATAAAGCAAATAAAAGACATTAAGAAATCCTTGTTCAAAGCGGTTTTCGAAAGAGAAACGTAAGCAAACAATGAAAAAAAAAGAAATCCTATTTTTTTCGCTTTTCTCGCCGCAGTCAGCTGTTCATCGATCCTCTCCCATTTAGCCCGCCGAAATTGTGCAATTTTGGGAATTCTGCACCGCCGTAGTACGTCAACTGAATTTTCCCGTAAGTTACTCACAAGCAACTTATGGAAAATTTGTCTGATCCTCCTCTTAAGCACACTGCCTCTCTCGGGTCACCCGAAAATTCAACCTCGGATAAGTGGCGTTCTGGTGAACTTGTGACACTTGACCGGGTAGTCTTCTGACTGTTGAACTGATTATTCTAAACAACGGAAAGGTGGGCGGGATTAGGTTCACCCAAGGAAGTTCTTCTGAATGACTAATAGTTATTTGAGATGAATGAGGGTTTACTACGGGCCACTGTGACTTGTCCCATGGACGATATGTACCGCACAACTGCGTGTGACTTTTGCCAACTTTATCTGCTCCATGTATCTCGCTTTTCCCATTTTCCATAAATATTTTGTTCCCCGGTCCAGATCCATCTTACAAGGAAAGGATTTGGTCGAAGTGGCGTTTCCATATATGAAATGTGCATTAAACTATACACCATTAAACGCTGATTCCAGATCTGCTTTCGGTATCTGCAAAGCGCTTCTGGGAGGAGAGTTATGGGGTTTGAGGTAGAATGTCAATGACTTGGCTAAGATAAAAATAGGTGTTGAGGTGTCGGCGCTTAAAAGGAGTAATGACTGACATGAGTTTATTAGATTGAAGGTCTTACTCTATAAAACGCCCTCGTAGTAATCATGGCCCCATTTGAATTCACGGACTAAAGTTCCAAATAATTTTATTGTAGCGGTGGTTTATTTTCTGCATCAAGAAATTTCCACAACTCCCCTTCCTGAGGCGCTTTGCAGATACTGAAAGTAAACTTGAACTCAGCCTTCCATGCGCTATAAAATAGTTTACCTTTTTTATGGAAACGCCATTTTGACCAAGTATCCATCCCTTGTTAGCTCGAAAAGCACACTCAGACCCGCTTAGCTGATAAATGGAAGCTTAAGACGGACTATAAGGTTACTTTGTGATAACCAACAAACGAACATGAATAATACAGAGCATATCTGCACATTATTTTTAACTTCTTTCGAGGTCAATGTGGAATGTTCACTAATTTGAAGAAAGAGGCTACAACCCTAGAAAACCATCTCCTCTTGACGCCTTGATTGTACAAAGAACAAACAACAATCGAAGCATAAATTTTAAAGCTCTTTCATGGAACATTTGAAACTGACCAAGTGATTCGTACATTCATCAAAAGTTATAGGATGACTTACGCAAATTCGCTGTAATTGACATTGCCTATGAACAAATTCATTCCAACAAAACGACAGCTCTTTCCTCTCAACTCATGGCTTGAAACAGTTATTGACATGTACAGCACATTCCAGCACATACAGACAAACAAGCGAAGACACCAAAGACGACCTGAGCAAATCATATTTTTCTGCATGGAACTACTCGAAATGGTTGCCAGTAGAGACTTCATTCACCTTCAAAGTTGTACAACTACTAAAAGGCCTATCAATGGTCACCGAATTTGTAGACATCTTAATCGATACCGCTCTGGTTCAGCCCATACATTTATCTCAGTAAAACAGCATAACTTGCAGAACACTTAAGTATGGTTGGTTTGCAGCCATGCAATCAGACTGCAAAGATCGACACTGAGTAAATTATATCGATCTACTCAACTCAACGCCATGAAGCACACTTTCCACATGATTGTCATGGCATTGTCAGCTTGTTGCACGAAAATTAGGCATGATGGGCAAAAGCGAGTCCCGGTAGAGTGCAGTGACAACATATCTGCGAAACGATAATCTGGCAATTATGATTTTTTTCATGAATTAAATTGCGCTATTGCGAAGGTCAAAATCATCAATAAAAATTTTCTTTCCTTTTCAAATGCTGAATATAATTAAGATAGGTATTGTACAACAGTATTTTAAGATCTTTCCAATAGCTTCAAAAGGTAACCTAGAACAAATCTTGTGATTTTGACTACCCAAAGTACGAAAATTCTTTACGAAGAAAAAGTTCAAACTTCCTACAAAAGATAGTTTCGCAGTTATCGAGCACAGATTTAGAATCAACATTTCGAGATGCATCTTACAATTTACAACGCATTCCAAATGGCCATAATTACCGAGTATCCTTTCCTTGTCAGCAGTTTGGACGATAGTGGTTGTATCAATCCTTTAACAGACCACTGAGGTAATGTGAACGCCACCTCGACGTCTCTTTTCCTTCTTGCTTTCATTCTATTAGGGCGAACGGTAAAAAATGGGGCACTTACGAAATAACCGGAGGTTTTCCAAGGAAGAGAAGTGGTTAGACTTTTCAATTTTGATGTTGGAATATGTTATTCTCTTTCAGATAATACCTATATAAGGTCATTCATAATTAATAATTTTCATACTTGCTGAAATGCAAAGTTAACACTTCGACAAATCACGAAATCCGAGCAGTTTCTGCGCAGTGAAACATGCGCACCTATACTACCAATGCTGGGATGGGTGGTGGGATAGTCACCAAACCCACGACGACTTGGTGGCCTCAACTTCTAAAGTCAGGAGATAAGGCCATTAGCAGCTTTGAGAACAAAGATACGTGCTACTCAATTCTTTGCAGATAAACGCATGTTTTCTAGGTACTATCTGAAATATGACTTGGTTTTTCATTACGCCAAAAATAGCTATTTTTTGAGTTTTTTCGCTTTTTTTCTTCATTCAAAAGAAATCTCATATGTTTGACAAATCGTTTTGAAGAGCATGAAGAGCTCTTTTGAATAATATGTCAAATACTTTATGAATTTACGGTATAGCAGCAGAAGCTTGAGAAATGTTCAAAAAACCCTGTCTGAGTTCTTCACGACACCACGCGTACGGTTATGAGAGAGTAGCAGTAACGTGCTGCCACTATAATAGGCGAACGGCTTATGTAAGCGACGTTTGAATCGCATCCTGCTTGTTGTTGGTGAGAACAAATCATAAAATCTAATGAGAATCAAGCTGCCCCATTTTCAACGTTCAGCCTAATAAATCCAGTTCCTGGCTGCCGAATACCATCATGTACAGTTATTATGCTAGTAAATTATTTGAAGCATTAATTATGCTAATCTATTACTGCTCCTGATGGCTGCTGCAGAAGCTTGAAAAATGTTCGAAAAACCCTGTCTGAGTTCTTCACGACACCACGCGTACGGTTATGAGAGACCAGCAGTAACGCGCTGCCACTATAGTAGGCGAAAGTCGGCTTATGTAAGCGACGTTTAAATCGCATCCTGCTTGTTGTTGGTGAGAACAAATCTCAAAATCTGATGAGAATCAAGCTGCCCCATTTTCAATTTCAGCCTAATAAATCCAGTTCCTGGCTGCGAAATACCATCATGGATAGTTATTATGCTAGTAAATTATTTGAAGCATTAACTATGCTAATTTACTGCTCCTGATGGCTGCAATAAATAAGGTTT